CACCTTGTTATCTCAGATTCACCAGCATCTGCAGTTCCTACTATCCCTTATATTGATGACAGGTTGAGAAAATTGAGCCGATAGTTTCTGGAGTTTGGAAGACTGAGAAGTGGATCTCATTGAATCAGACAAAATTCTAAAGGGGATGGGTAGAACTGACATGGAGGATAATTCCACTGGCTAGGGAACCAAGAACATAGGGTCACAGATTCAGGATAAGGGGCTGATCATTTAGGACATTTAAGATGGAGACTGATTGCTTCAATCAAAGGGTTGTGAATTTCAGGAATTCTGTACCCCCCAGGATTGTGGATGATCATTGAAGATAGACAAATCTTTGAGGAAGGGTCACCGGACCTGAAACGTTAACTGTTTTCTCCTTCACAGATGCTGCCAGACCTGCTTAACTTTTCCAGCACCTTTGTTTCTGTTCTTGATTTACAGCATCCGCAGTTCTTTGGATTTTATTTGAATTAGACAAATCTTTGGTCTCTCAGGGAATCAAGGCTTATGGGAGCAGGTGGGAACATTGAGTTGAAGCTGAAGATCAGCCATGTCGTATGAATGGCATAACAGAGTCAATGGCTATTTCTTGCATGTAAAGTAGCACATATGAAGACAGCCTTGCCATTTTCTTTGGGCTACTGCACAATACAGCGTAGTTATACAATACAGCTGTATACTATAGATACCAGATGCACTCTGAATTGATTGGATTTTTTTTTTTTTTTTAAATAGAATCCCTACAGTGTGGAAACAGGCCCTTCGGCCCAACAAGTCCACACCAACCCTCAGAACATCCTACCCAGACCCATCCCCCTATAACCCACCTAATCTACATGTCCCTGAATACTACGGGCAATTTAGCATGGCCAATCCACCTAGCCTGCACATCTTTGGAATGTGGGCGGAAACCGGAGCACCCGGACGAAACCTACGCAGATATGGGGAGAATGTGCAAACTCCACACAGACAGTGGCCCGAGGGTGGAATCGAACCCAGGTCCCTGGCACTATGATAATGTGCACCTATGAATGTTTGATATTCGTAAGTGAATCAGATTCAATAAAAGAACCACCAGTCCTCTGGTTTCCATTCAACAACTGAGTTGCCACAAACCACAGTACAACCCAGTATAACGGACAGTATACCTTGAATTAATAAGAATGTGATGCACAGCAGTCACTTTCGCATGACAGGGAAGAAATAACTGGCAACATAAAAGAGCAATTATATAAAATGCAGTTGTTTCCACTTTGAGAAGAACCTTAATATTTTCCTATCCCTGTCTAACTTTACTGCCCATTTCCTGGTCTCTCTGCTATCACTGTGTTCAAAACTGATGTATGGAGAACAGGTTGAGATACACAGACTATTGAATTATGTTTACTGGAACAAGATGACTTAACCTGATGAATGATTTGTATTTCTACATTTTTAATGCATGGTTATAATAGAATGTAGCAAACAATAAGAGAACTACACCAATGAAGTTGGCAACAATATTCCAATCTAAAGGAACTCTATACCATCAATTTAAATGGCTGGTAGAAAGCTTTATTTAACAAATAGGCTGTCAGATGGCATGGAAGTGTAGCAAGTTAGGGTACAGGTGACGTACTGCTGACAGCCTAGACATCCAATTATAAGGAGGAAAAGAAATCAGTGGAACGTGTACACTCACAAGGAAATGACGAGGGATAACGAATTGCAATTATGAAGAGAAACTTGTTCAGCCTGTTTACTTAGAGCCGAGTGGCTGTGTCTAAACGACTATAACTGAGTCCAATACTTAAAAATAGATCTGCTTGGCAGGCATGCATTTCCCTGACCCTGAATAACTAGCACTTTCTGTGGCAATGTCAACCATTGAAAAGTTGATGATAAATCTGGAAAACTCAGTCGATACAGTGTGGAGCTGGAGGAACACAGCAGGTCAGGCAGCATCAGAGGAGCAGGAGAGTGGACGTTTCGGGCCTAGACCCTTCACAATATAGAATCCAGTATTGCTGAAACAGACTGACCTGATATTCCCTCCAGTCAATGCTCAGATTTTCAGCCAGCAAAGGAGGTATATTCAACGGTGCATCGACAAAATCCTGCAAGTACATTCATGGTCATCGGTGAAGTATAGCAATACTCATTTTATACAATGTATGAAATACAATTGAAGTGGAGAATAACAAAGAATAACTTCAGGAATTATAATGATGATCGATGCCTTCACTAGACGCCATAATGACATCTGGCACTGACACCATCACTCAATTAACAAGCTACAGACAATAACTATACAACATTCTTCCTTCTTATACACTTAAATCTGGAGGAAGACATGTACTCCCAGTAGGCACTTAAAAAAGGGCAATTAAACAAGATAATAAATCGTGACAGTTTTAAAAGTGATCAATATTATGAGGAATAAAAGGAAAATTTTAGATTTGATAGATTAAGGGAAGGTAAAGCACCACAGCCCAACTTGATTGACTCTGGGGAGGAAAATGCAGAGCTCACAGAAATTAGATTTCTGGGCTCCATTAAGTGTGCTGGCATTCTTGCGAATGTATGTAGCATTTTGGAATGAAATGCTATTTTTAAAAACAGAAACTCAGATAATTTGGGTACTTAGAGTCCAGTTAAATTAGCATCTGTGGTTGGGGATTTTTTTTTCTTTAGTTAAGGATTATATTATTGTGTATTTGGTTTCAGAAAAGAAAGTTAAAATAACCAACATCAAGTTAAAAAGGGTTGATCATGCTTGACAAACCTGCCAGAACTCAGAGGAGTTAACAAGCATGGTGGATGGGAGGAAATTCACTGGATGAGATGTACATGGAGTTAAGTCTTTGATATGATACCTCACAGATAATTACTAGAAAAGCTAAACGGTATGGATGAAATTGGGGAAAGGATAAGTAGTAGACTTAATTTGGTTAGAATGGACAAGATAGAGTAACAGTTAAATGCAGTTTTTCCAGAATAGGTGGAAAAGGCCCATAGGTCTCATTTTTCTTCATTTTGTATATAGGCCTGGAGAAAATGGTACCAAAACTTTCAACAGAAATCAAACTACCAAGTGTAGTAATTTATTAATTAATGAAAGCTACAAAGGAGCAAGCAATGCAAAGTTACAGAAAAGGAGGCCCTTAAATCAACGGCTACCACTAGTGAAAAAGTACGCAGAAAGTATTGAGATTAAAAGTAAACAAATCTCCAGAGTCTGATGGCCTACATTCTAGGGTTTTAAAGGAAGTGGCAGCAGAGATAGTAGATACATGGTTAAAATATTCCAAAATTCCCTGGATTGTGCAAAGGTTCCAAGGAGTGGAAAAACACAGTTTTAATGACCTTATCAAAAAGGGAGACAAGCAGAAAGTAGAAAACTATCGACCAGTTTAATATCTGTCATTCGAAATTGCTGAAATCCATTATGAAGAAAGTAATGGGTATTTGAAAATTCAAAATGCAATCAATCAGCGTCAGCATGGTTTTATGAAGGGAAGACTGTGTTTGACCATCTTGCTAAAGTTATTCAAACATGTAGAAAGCAAACTGGATACTAGGGCTCCCTTAGACATAAAAATCTGGGCTTCCAGATGGCATTTGATAACATGCCACACAAAAGGTTAATGCACAAGGTAAGATCACAGGAGATCAGCTTGGATAGACAACTGCTAACCACAGAAAACAGTGTCAAAATAAATGTTTTAATTCTGGTTGGGATGTTGTAACTAGTGGGGTGCTACAGGGTTCAGTCCTCAGGCCCTAACTATTTACAATCTATATTAATTATCCGGATGCCCAGATTTGCAGAAAACAATAAAATAGGTGGAAAAATAAGCTGCAAAGAAGAAATAAGAAATTCTAAGTGCCCTGCCAGCAAGTGCGGGCTTGTGTCCTCTAGTTAGTCCCAATATCAGGAACTCCAAGCCCATTGGTAAATCCAGCACCCATATCTTCAATGTCATTCAAAGTATTCATTTTACAAAATCTTAAGTTTTAAGAGTGATTCACAAGTAGTTCTGAAAGGAACTTTCGAAGTCTTAACTGAACCTATGTATTTGAGTTTAGAATGAATTTTTGCCTAATTTTGCTTCTAAAGCATCTTAGATATCTTTGCCACTAAAACTGAAATTAATGTTAAATTAGATTGTGAATGTCTGACAAACAGACTTATGTTTCTCTCTTTAGGTGGGTGAAATTATTAGAATTCATTTGTTCACCCTGATGTAATCTACACACCCTTACTCCTGACCCCAACTAGCTGCAAGTGTATGGCTTTAGTTTACTGTATAAAAATCTCAATCAATCACAGTAATGCTGGCTCCTGTGCTTGGCTGAATATTATACGTTAAATGCATAGCTAATTATGCATTATACAGTTTTAGCAACTGTATCTGGAACACATTCCCATATCACAAAGATCAGAGGCAATAAAAATCTGTGGTATCTACATTCTGCCTACCGCACAAAACTCACTCTTTAATCAGTAATCTATTACAACCATGTTCTTGGGTCTCTTAGTTCTTGATGACAGGGTAAAGGCTGGCTGGGGGAAGAAAACATGACCAGATTGGGTGTAACACCTATTTCTACTCTCATACCTCCATTAGCTGTAAACTTACCTGGTTCCAGTTGAACACCAGCCCTTCAGCTGTGTAATCACGATCCTTGTAGTCTTTAAAAAATTCACAACCTACAGACAAAGGTAGAAAAACAATGTAACTGCTGAGACAACAATGCCTCCATTGTGCACTGAACACTATTTACCCTTTGACTAACATTACAACTGTAATTCATTGACCGTAAAGGGCTGTGGGACATCCTGAAATAGTGAATATTAGTAGATAAAACAGAACATACAACAATACAGCACAGGAACAGGCTCTTTGGCCCACTATGTCTGCACCACCCTTGATGCCATTTTGAACTAATCCCACCTGCTTACACATGGCCCATATACCTCCACTCCCTGGTGGTTCATGTGGCTGTCTGAACACCCCTAAACGTTGTTATTGTATCTGCTTCGAAGATCACCCTGGCAGTGTGTTCCAGGCACCTGTGCAAAAAACTTGCCTTGCACATCTCCTTTCTCCCCCCTTCCTCTCACTTTAAACCTACAGGACAAGTCTTTCTTCATCTCCATCTTCACAGCATAAATATGACAATAATTACATAAATTATAAATTGGAGAACTCATTATTTTGTAAACAATTGAAATGTTAACTTTAAATGAAAATGAGATTGGTCTTGCATCACTCAGCATAAACGGAATTTCTTTGCATCCAAATACCAAATGGCTATAGGCAATCATTTCTTAATCTAATACTTACTACCCATTGGCGAAATATTCAGACTATTTCCTACAAATTTTGGTCACATTTCATATATTCACAAAAATTTTTTTTGAACGATCAGAAGGGTTTCCTTTTACCTACATGTACTAAGAAAGGTGAAACTGCGATACACTTTGCATCACTTCTTTGTCAAATCAGTAACTCAAAATGAACACTGTTTCTCTAGGTTTAAACCAATACAACAGAAAAGTGATAAATGATAGAAAAAATTATGGACAACTATTTAACAGGCAGTGAAGGCATTAAATATTAGCATATCCTCACTGCTGCTTCTGCTGGTTTTCAAATTTCATGGCAGTCTTTGAACAAGATAAAGCAAGAACACTGTTGATTTTAATTATTTATAAAATCTATTTTTAAAAAGGACCAAAGATTTGATTAGCTAGTATATCAACAATGTTGCTGTGAAGCATTTACCTGGGTATGGTATAGATAACAAAGTGAAATCTGCATATCTTTGGGCTTTGTCCACTTTCTCAGATGAGGTCACACTGAACAAGGAGAAGACAGACCATTATTTACAATATTTTAGCATCTCATTAACCCAAATCAAGAAACCTTGTATCTTTATTGCATTTATATAGTAAGCACAAGAGATTCTATACACAGGGAATGAAACATTGGTCCTTCTTTGGAGCACTTGCAGGTAAAGGATAATGCATACAAGGTCTCACCAGGTACTGACTGACTGCATTGAAGTCAGTCTTAAATGCAGCTAACCATAAAGTAGCATTCCTGTTTTAACACTGCAGATGTCATATGGCTGTTAAGCAATTTTTTTCCCTGATTTATCATTATTCTTGTTCTACAAGTTCATGACCTGAACTCAATTCACTTGAGACCATTATAGGCAGCTGACAGCAGTCAACATCCATCTTAACTGTTTGAGCTGGGTCCAAATTCTGGCTGCAGAATGAGTGTTCTAATCTAATCATACCAACTCAGTGGAGATCTATTTCCAATGTTAAGAGTCTCTGCTGTTTAATAGTATCAAAGGAATATCTTTTAGACGCATTATATCAATGAATACAAAGAGTAAAGAGTAAAGAGTAAAGTCTTCAAATGAAAGGGGAAGAAAGTGGGAGGAGAAAAGAGATTGTTCTAAAAGGTTGGTGGAAGCCACTGTAAAGTGCAAGGTACAATTGGACGTGGAAACAAAACTCTGAAGAGAACTATAGACTTGTTGCACATCAAAGTGCAATATTGATTAGAAGTTAACATATCCAGGGCTTCAAAAGGTTACTACTTAAAATAATTCACTATGTTTTCTTAAAAAAAAATTAGTTTCATTTCCCTTTTAAAGCTCCAACCACAAATGAGCCTAACGTTGCACAGATGTATACTGTACAGTTTGGCAAAGAGTTGCTCAAGTTCATGTTCAAAAGTATTTGTTTAATTTAAAATCCACCCAGTAACACTGACTTCCTAAAGGCATCACTGATTCAAGATGAAGATGTTAAGCCTAGAGAACAGAGACACATTTCAATGCAAATCATTCGCATAAAGATGCGCTGAATTAATGTATTTATTTGAACTATAGTATCTAACAATACCTCTAACTTGGAGGATCTACAACTTTCTCTGCATGAAATACTGTTGCAGCTCAACAATTTTGCTGTTAGATAATTGGATACATTAATTTGAAGGAGCAGGACTGGCAGATATTTACACTGAAAGCAGTCATTAAAATGTACACATTCCAATGTAGATTTCATTCCCTTTAAGCAGAATCTTGTAGATATAATTTACAGAAAGGAGCATCTCAAGTCCCAAAGCAAATTCATTCACTTTAAGCCATTCTGTGAACTAACACAGTCATATTCCTGTAAGGATTTTTGCTTTTGACACAGTAAGTAACAATTCGGAAAAAATGTTCCTGTGCCAGTCATCCACAGACAATTTTCAATTGGAGAGGGTGATACCAAACATTTATCATATTTCAGGATGGTCAGTCACACTAGTTTCAAGCATCTGCAGCTCTTCAATGTTAAATCTGAAACTCTTTTGCAGACTTAGGGGTTTAATTGATATGGTTGAGCTAATTAAAATGGGACATTGGCTATTTTCAAACTTTCAGTGCTCGAATTCAAAAGATGCACATCTGGCACCAAACATACGCATGCCCAGATAAAAATATCAAATTCTACTTGCTATCGGAGCCCCACACAGGAAGATCTGGTTAAAATTTTCAATTGACATGTGGGAGTGATTCAGTAACTTATTCATGTCTTTCAGTTACATTTCTATAATGTTGAAAAACCATGACTTGCACTTGAGCACGTGGGATTCACTTTGTCATGCAGACATGTGAGGAGATAAGCATATAAAGTGGAAAAAAACCAATGGTTACTAATAGAGCTAAAAACAGGAAGTTTGGAAGAATCTCAAGTGGAGCATAAACATCAGCCGGTTAGGCCAGAAGGCCTATAACTGTACTGTCTGGTCCATGTTTTCTCTCTGAATGAAGATTTCATATTATGCTTTTGAGAATGAAATACCCATAGAATACTAAAACTATTGAGATTTATAATACACATCTGCTCTCTACATGTCCTAATCAAGCAGTCAGACAACAGCTGGAATACATTCTGGAAAGTGCAAAATTGCGAATACACTCAGAAACCTTGAGGTTTTAAGAGGGAGACTGAATGTTTTATTTCAAAACATAAGGATGCACAATGGTAAGGTCATTATAATATCTTGAATGGTGAAACCTGGCAATTGTAGAAAGCACTAGAGCCATGAACATGGCCCAAACCATCACGTAAACCAGCCTTTCAACTACTGTGAAATGTTAAATCATATGTTCTGAGGAAAGGTCACCGAACCCAAAATGTTAACTCTGTTTTCCTTCACAGATCCTGCCAGACCAGCTGAGCTTTTCCAGCAACTTTGTTTTTGTTGTTGTTGTTTTTCTTCTATCTACTGACTTCATCTATACTTCCCACTGCCTCGGGAAAGCATCCACCATAATCAAAAACCCCTCCCACTCCGTTTATACTCTCTTCCACCCGGTAGATTAAAAAGTTTGTGTACACGTATGAATAGATTCAAGACCAGCTTCTTCCCTGCTGTTATTAGATTTCTAAATGGACCTCTCAAATTTTTAATTTAATGCTGAGCTCGGTCTGTGTGCCTTCTTTGCAGCTGTAACATTATATTCTTCACTCTGTTCTATTACCCTAACGCACTTTGCCTTGTATAATCTGCCTGTACTGCATGCAAAACTAAACTTTTCACTGTAACTAGGTACATGTGACAATAAATTAAATCAAATAAAAATGCTATGATTAGAGATATTACTTATAGAACTTAAGCAAACACAACAGATGTCGGAAAATACATTAGATTCAAGGGATGGAAATGAAGCAGAAGCAATTTATCCACATGATGATAACTCAAGTATCCATATCAACCGCAATAATGCATTGTATTTTCAATAAATATTTATACAAAGCTGGCATGTCAGCACAGTAAAGGGAAAAGATACAGTAATCCATAGACCAACATTTCCATTTTTTTTCTTTATATTTACATTGTTCTTATTGAAACTGGAATTTTCTTTTATATTTAAAAACAAAACTACCATTACTTAATGGTAATCACTTCCATTACTCTGCCAGTTATGCAGAGCAGTTGTGCTTCACATAATGGGCAGAAGCTTGTAAAACAAGGTAATTAAAAATTAGCTTAATTCTTTTTTCTATGATGTGCACAATGATGCAAAAGCAGCATTTACAGGCAATCTGATATTCTGCAGGTATTAACATTCAATCACAAAGGTGGGACAAGAATCTCATATAGGCCAGGTGGAATAATAGTGGAAACTCCTTTTCCTGAAGGACATGACTGAATCAGTTGGGTATATAGCAATCCTGAAGACATCATCATTTTCTGCTGGCAGCTACCACACACTACCAGGTTTATTGAACTCATTTTCACAACCTGCATTGATGAGTTTTGAACTCATGACTGCTGGGTTACTAGCTCATTACCATGATTAGGCATTAATAAGAATATTTTACTTGGGGAAGAATAAACACGTCAGTGAGGAAGTAGGCACATTTGCATGCTTTGTGAATATTGGGGCAATCTTAAATTGTTTAACATTCAGATCATAAAGACAAGTTATACCCTTGTTTATAGATGATAGTCTGATATTTATCATATTTCCCCCTCTTTAGAGCTCTTTATGTTATAACCATTAATGTGCCTCTTCCTCACCTATATCTGTAGCTCATCATGGCATCAGGCAGGATTGCCCTATGAAAAAAGATTGGGCAAACTGGGCCTGTATTCTCTAGAGTTGTAAAGAATGAGAAGTGATCTCACAGAAACTTGCAAAATACTTGTTGGCATAGATACAATAGATGCAGATAGGATATTTCAGAATCACAGAAGTCTAATAGCACAGAAGGAGGCCATTTAGCCCAATGTGTCTGCAGCAGCCTTCCTCATTCCGGAGCCTAGAACCCGGGATCCAATTTTAAAATCAGGGAGATGCCACTTAAGTCCAAGACAAGGAGAAATTATTTTATGTTTAGGACTGGGAACCTTTGGAATTCTCTACCACAGAGGGTTATGGAAGCTTAGTGCTTGCATATATGCAAGGTGGAGATTGATAGATTTTTTATTACCAGTGGCATGCAGGGTTATGGGAATGCGGCATAGGTAAAAGGCACTAAAGTATTCAATCAGCCATGATCATGTTGAATGGTGGGTCAGGGTCAATGGGTTAAATGGCTTCCTCTTCTTTCCATGACTAATAACTTCAGCAGTCACTTACTTCAGTCCAAACTTAACTTTCTTCTTCTCTACCATCAGATCACAGATGTAATGAACAGAAAGATAGCGCAGCAGTTTTATGTCATGGCCTCGGACTTTATCAAATAACTGTGAATCACCATTCCTGGAATAATCAAAAAAATATGAAGCAAGGTCAGAACAAAACAAAGATCTTGTGTGTTCTTCAGTGAAAATTCTCCCTTCATATACATTAATTACGGAGAACATAAGCCCTGATATTTCTGAGAAGACAATTTATGACTGAGCTCCAATATTTGAGATTCTACTCATTCTTCGTAGTGTATCGTTCCTTCAAAGTATGAATCACATTGATAGAAAGACACCTTGCACAGCCCCAGTACAGAAACAGTCCTGGTATTCATTCACTTTGCAAGTATTTTTCTAGTATGATTAAAGCAAACCATTAATAAGAATGCACTGCTGATTCCTAGAAGTTTTTTTTCTTCAAAAAAAAGGTTTGACAGCATTTTTTAGGAACCATAAAGCCAACATTCACAGACTAATCTATTTGCATTCAGTCCCGGATTCCTTTCTACATTATTCAGGTCACTATTCATGGAAGCTAGAAAGAAGGCTGCAAAAGATAGCCAAAGTGAGCAGGCAAACATCTGGCAAAAGCAGTATAGTGTGGGAAAATGTGAAATTGTCCATTTTGGTGGGAAGAATGAAAAAGCATATTATCTAAATGGTAAGAGAATGCAGATCTTTGAATTGTGCAAGAAATGCAAAATCTTAGTATTCAGGTATAGCAAGTAATCAGGAAAGCTAATAAAATGTTAATTGGCTATTGCGAGGGAAATTGAATACAAAAGTAAGGATGTCATGTTTCAGCCACACAGGGCAGTGATAAGACCATACCTGGAGTACTACATATCAGTCTCTTTATTTAAGGGAAGATGTAAATCATGGCAAGCATTTCAGAGAAGGTTTAGTAGGTCAATGCCTGGAATAGGTACGTTGGCTTGGAGGAAAGGTTGGACAGGATAGACTTGAATCTACTGAACTTTAGAAGAGTAAGACGCAACTTGATTGAATATCTAATCTGCGAAGGGGCCTTGACAAGCTGCATGTGGAAAGAGGGATGTTTTCTCTTGGGGGAGATTCTACAACTAGGGGCACTCATTTAAAACAGAGGGGAGGAGAATTCTTTTCTCAGAGGGTTGAGTGTCTTTGTAGCCCTCTTCCTCAGAAAGTGGTGGAAGCAGAGTCTTTGAATCTGTTTAAGGCAGAGATGGTTACATTCTTGATAAGCAAGGAGGGTGAAAAAAATTGTCATGGGTAGACAGAAATATGGAATAATTAGGTCAGTCATGATCTGGTTGAAATGCAGAGCAGGTTTGAGCAATCAAATATCTTCTGCTTCTAACTCTTATATTTGTTTGAGGGCTGTTTCTAAACAATTGGATCAGCTGTAATCAAAAAAGAGAAAAGGAAGAAAACGAGAGAAATATAAAATTCTATTCAATCTCTCAGATACAAATTCAAGAGGCTGAGGCTATATTCTAGGTTCACATTTTTGTAATATCATTGCCTGTTCTAGACTAAACAAGAAGTATGTGACTTACCGTACTGCAAAATCGTCAGGCACTTCATCAGACTCTGCTCCTGCATCATCAGATCCTCCTAAGAGAGAAAAACAAAAAAGTACACATGATTAAGTTAAGCAATTACTGTTAGAAGATTGATATAAACTCACTTTTCATTCAAACTCAAAGACTGCACTCAGCTTAACAGATCAATGCAGCTAAGTACCTTAAATGCCCAATTTCAGAAAATAATGCATATAGTTCAATACAATAGTTTCACCTCTGGCACAAACAGATTTTGAAAGAAAATGTAGTCTGTTAGTGCTTTGTTTCAGAGATCTGGCTCGTCTAAAGCAAAAATACCTGGCATGGACAACTAAGCCAAAACAGTCCATTTCAATACTGTGATTGCTATGCAAGACTATGCATATGTCCCTGTCAGAAAGCAAGGAGGACTTCAAATCTTATATTGGCACAGCCTAATTCTTCTCCAAACAAAGGGAACAGTACAACTAAGAACACTGGCTTCCAGGCATGTAGCATTAATGTAATGCCAAATCAACCCAATTCAAGCCAGGGCAGAAGAATGAAATTACAGTCAGGTCTCTTTGTCAGTAGCATTCAGTTTTGGAGAGCAAAAAATTGGCATTCTATACCATTTAAAACACATACTCCTACAACTATTTTTATAATAAGGTCAGAACATACATGTACTTCTAAAGAATTAAATCATTACTCACCCGAGAATAAGTAGTTGTACCCACTGCGCCCATAAAGCTCTCCCCATCCAGCCAGAGTTGCTGACCGACATATATGCTGCAAATGGGGGGAAGAAAGAAAGAGAAATTAAACCTTGGAAATTGAAAACCAAAAATACTTAAATGACTGTTTAAAAATCTGTTAGTATACACTAGAGAAAATAGCACTAACTTGTTTTAGTCCAACAATTCATGAGGATACAGAGGTTTTTCATAAAGTTGAGAATGAAAATAAAGTAAAGCAATAAAGATTTATGCATTATAAAGACCACAACATTTTAGTTCTCTGTAAAGCATAGAGTTTAAGAGCAGGGAGGTTATGCTGGAACTGTACAAAACATTGGTTAGGTCACAGCGAGAGTATCATGTGCAGTTCTGGAAACCACATTATAGGAAAGATGTGATGACACTAGACAGGGTGCAGAGGAGATTTATTAGGATTTTGCCTGGACTGAAGTGTTTTAGTTATGAAGTGAGATTGGATAGATGAATAGAGTAGAAGAGACTGAGGGAGGATATGCTTGAGGTATATAAAATTATGAGGGGCACAGATAGGGTAGACAGAAAGGATCAATGACCAGAGTGCATAAAGTCAAGGTAAGGGGCAGCAAGTTTCAAGGAAATGTGAGGATGATTTTTTTGTTTCACTAAGGGCTGTGGGCATCTGTAATCCTCATAACATTTAAGAAATATTTAGATGCACACTTGCAATGCCAAGGTATATAAGTCTATGGGCCAAGTATTGCAAAATGTGATTACAATAGTTAGGTGGTTATTTTTGACCGGCACAAACTCAATGGACCATAGGGCCTTTTACTGTGCTGTAGACCTCAATGACTATATTTTTTTTTATTGTGGACTGAAATAAGCAAAGAACTATTTTAAAAACTAAGCATGTATTTCCAGCATTGATCAGCACATGGGAATATGGTATTGTTACAATCACGGAGACATGGTTGAAGGAGGACAGGACTTGAACACTCCAGTGTATAGAACTCTCAGGTGTGAAGGTGTAGAAGTTTCAGATGTGTCTAAGACCAGAGGGCATAAGTTTAGAGTGAGGAGTAAGTAATTTTGACCAGATCTGATATTAAAAAAAAATCTACCACCCTCTGAGTGAAAAGTCACCCACAGGGTGGTGCCTAAGAGTGTGATGGAGACAGGTACTCTCGCAACACTTAAGCATCATCTGGATGAGCACTTAAAATGCCAGGGCAGAACAGGCTGTGAACCAAGTACAGGTAAGTGGGATTAGTGTAGTTTGCCGTTTGTTGGTTGGCATAGACATGGTAGGCCAAATAGCCTGCTTCTATGTTCTATCACTCTGATTGTTGACAAATTGTTACACTTTTTAAAACAAATAACCTGATATTCATTGTGTTGTTCACTCAGCAGATAGTTAAAGGAGTGGAAAACTAGTCTGCAGGCAAGCTGAAGCCAAGAGGTGCGTATAAATTTGAGCTAGGCATGGCAACAAACAGCTGATTAGTCTGTGGACTAATGACCAACTATTGATGATAAAGGCCTTCTGCCTGTCAACAACTGTGTGACTGGCTCCCGGATATGTGAACAAGTCAGGGGTGTGAATGTTTGGGAGAAACCATCAGATCTCCTCAAGGGCATGAGCTGTTCCTTTCCTGTCAAAAAATAAGCCTAACACCAGGAAAGCAAGTTTATTTTTCCCTCAGCTTGCTTAACTAGCAAGCCATAGACTTGATAAGTATGAACATGTCATCCTGTACCATCTGTAAAGAAGTGAAGGAGAATCAAGAAGCAGCATGCTTGGACAAGACGAAAGGACCACCTCAGCAAACCATGTGAACAGGGACCACTGAACTGCATTCCCAGTCTTTGCCACTGCCTTTGCCTTTTTCTCCTGTTTGAGTTTGTTTGTTTGTGTGTGCATATGTATCTACCTGCAGTTATAAGGGGATTAAAGTTTTAACTAGTAAAGTAAAATGTCAATTGTTTATAATTGTGTATATGCAGCTAGAATCTATTTATTTGTAATAAATAGTCATTCTTGTTAAGCACAGAAACCTGGTCTGTGCTGTAAACCTGGATCTGAATGACAGGTAAATTGGGAAATTCTGTGCATTTTTAAAATCTAATTTTTGTGACGACTCCAGGAATAACAGGGCCTGATTTCCTGTGCATCACCTGAATGAGGCACATAGCATATTCACACCTGCAACTTTCTGTTGGATGGTCATTGACTTAGTAAGTTTGGCTATGAACTTCAGAATAACAGGGCTTGCTGCAATGCTCAAAGTTGGTTGCCCGCAAAGATCTAGCTATATCTGTGGCCAAACCTTCCTTCCCAATATTAGTTTGAATTTAGTGCCAAGTAAAGGAAATCTCCAGGTATTATGCCGCAGTGATGTCATCACACAGGGGAGGCAGCTATTCTTGTTCAAGTATTCTCACAGATAACAAAGAAAATGAGTATTATCTTCAATCTTTATTAAATTTTACAGAATCAAAAATGACAATTGAGGCATACACATGGAATTACAGTAGACAGAGACTTTTAAAAACTGTGAAATTTTGTATTATAATCTAACATTTTACAAATAGAATATTCATTCCTCAGGGCAAGAAAGATTTTCAGTTTTATGAACATAATACACCATTAAAAGCCCAGTAACAACTCAATTTTTGATCGGATTAATGGTGTGAAAAGGTGAATTTGCATTATGTTGATCGCAATGTAGGGATACAACATCTCATTCATATTTTTGAATCCCATTCATGGAATGTCGGTGTCATGGGCTGGGCCAGCATTCATTGAGCATCCCTTATTGCCCAGAGGAGCACACCAGATAAGTATGACAGAGTTCTTTCCCTAAAGGACATTTATGAACCAACAGGTCTTTACAACAATAGCAATGCTTACACAATCACCACTGGGCTATCTTTTTATTCCATACTTTTGCTGAATTTAAATCATCTGCCATGGCAGAATTTTAATCCCAGTACCAGAACATTAACTTGAGATTCTGGATTACTAGCCCAGTAACATTACCACTAGGTCACCTCCATTCCCCTCCACCACACCAAACCCTTACATGGAGTCATTATCACCAAAAGCGACTTTTGGACTTCTGCATTTAATGTGTGGATTCCAGAAGTTGCTGGCAGCTTCTAAAGGAGTAATGAGGGAACAATGGATAATTTTGCCATCAATACTACTGCAAAATCGAGGCCTTTTATTTTAAGGCTGCAGAGCTACAACATTGAGGAGAAAAGCTTACTGGTGAGCAAATTCTAACAAGAGACAACTGAAGTTAAGAATGTTATTTTTTCGCAAAATTCCATTAAGTCCAAGAACTTAATTTCTGTTTGCACTCAATCTTTCTCCTCTTTATCCATCAATATCTTCTTTGTTTTAAGAGAAATGTTTAGCTCCTCAAACCATATTTCTTTTAAATTTCAGAGCCATTCCCATTCAACTTATTCCACCTTCTCCATTACTTCTTTGTAATTTCACTAGTCATTGCTAACTTGCTACTTTTTAGCACATTTCAAATACTAGGCAATCTTAATTACAGAGACTTCAAGTCAAGTACAGTAGTTCCTTCCCTTGCCAAAATTCCCTTTGAATCATGCCTAATTGCTTCTTTTCTAGTTGAAAATTGGCTTAGTTTACTTTTGAGACCATTTTCCATTCTGTATAAAAACATATTGTTTATTCTTTTCAATTAACTATCATTGTACAAGCTGTTGAAGGATATCTGGTACTGCAGATAAACAACTACATTTCCCCTCATCCCTGGCATCAAAAGCTTCTTTGAAAAACATGTTTGATAACCTTGAACTATTTGATAACACAGCCCCTACATCCTTTGCTGAGTTGGATTTTTATGTAACTGGTGGCAGATGTAGTTCAGTGTAGAATAGTTTATGGAAGACTGAAAGTTAACAATTGGTTGAGACACAAGAGGAGCAATTGCTATACTACAATATGAAAACTGATCATATCAGAAGTAGGCAATGAATAATGCCTAAGTACTTCAACTTTTAAAAGTCAAGTAGTTTATGGAATAAACCTATTTGCCTGAAAATTTGGTTCCTCACTTTTCTAAAAATTCTGAATTGAATCAATTCAGATTGCAGAACAATTAAATTAAATACTACAAAACATCATTGTCACTTGCCATCTCTGCACTCTTTCAGCTTACTTATACTCTTCTCTGCTGACCCAACTTCCTTCAAGTATCATACAAACCAAGCTCATTAAGCTCAAGTTACAAAGTAATCCACCTCTTTCTGTGTTCTAACCATTTAGGCTTTAAATTAATACGTCAACTCAAGCTCAAAAAAAAAGAGAATGATCATACCTTTCCATGGTACAAAATGACTGGGCAGACAAAGCGACTACGACATCTTGCCATCTTGCTACGGCTCACAAAATCCTGCAATTTGCTCGTCTGAACAGTGCTCTCAAACCTATAAAATAAAGGGAAGATATTAAAAAAAAATAACTGGTGAATTGACATCTGTTTTTAAACATATCCCCAAGAGAATAGGTCTGTGTGAATAGATGATGTCTGCATCAATAGCAGCAGTCTCAGAAGTCTTACACAAGGTCAGCAGAGACAGTGATGCTAACAATATTTATCTGGTATTGAGTAATAAGTGTGGAGTTTTTTTTCAAGGTGTAGTATTTGGTCTAATCAGAGGAGAGGAAAACAATGTTAACATTTACAGTCCAGTATGACTGCTCTTCAAAGTGGAGTCAACATGTGAAGTACTGTTATTAGTACAGCCTGTACAGGACTGAGTAACTTAGAATGCATCTAACTACAAGTCACAGCAAGAGCTGTTAGCTTTAACTTCCTACAAAAATGGTGCTAGTATTTTAAAGACCAAATCATATGGACACAAACAATCCTTTACATTAACGGTGAACACACACACACACACACACACACACAGGTCTGCACTCTTTCTGTTCCTGATGGAAGAAAAATGTTGACTATTACCTGGCACTAAGTTCCTTCTAAAAAAAAACTGTCTCAGAAACTACTAGACCAGAAAGTTTAAGTCTCCTCTAAGTTTAATATAATTGTTATAAGCTGTAATAGTTTGATTTTTTAAAAGTTTAAGCAGCATCAAGTGGCAAAAAGTATTCTACAATATTAATATTCTTCCACTAAGTTGTAGAGAATACATTTGAACTAAATGGGTTCTAGAAACATGTACAATGCACTATATAACACAAGTTAAAATAAGCCTGGTTGCTTGCTAGAAATTAATTATTAAACTGGCCTTAATAGCCTGTATCCAAGAAGATTAATAAATGCATTCACTTCTTTACAATGATGGCTCAAAACCAGATTCTATTTGAATGAGAATAGATGAACAGACTTTCCATCATCAACTACAAAGGTTTCCTTCCCTTTTTCACTGCTAATAATATGTTACTATAAAAAAATAAAAAGACTCTCCCCATACATATAGTATCAGATCATGCCATTAGGACTGTTTCACTTCTGCAGCTGCTTTTAAAACATTTGCCAATCACCACCCATAGAATATATCTACCAACTTTCACAAACTCTTCTGCACCTTTTTAGAAGTGATTACATAGCACAAGCATTTCAGCACAAGAGTTGTAATAAGTGGATCCAACAATTAAGTTTGGAGGTAATAGTGCTAGCCACAGCAGATTTTTTTTTAATGCATGAAAAGAACTTGTGGCATGTAAGGGCAAAAGAGGAAGGTGTGCACTGGCACAAGTGGTAGCTGAGAAGTTGAGTTTTAAACCAGAGAAAATATTTTTCTATTGATTTTTTTAAGCAAGCCTGGAACATTGCTTCAAACATTACTTCAAGGAGATTCACTGTAATGCAATCAAAGCAGCACTATATCTAGAAAAAGGATAATGCAGCAAATTAGAACGGGAGCAACCTCCATTGTGCTCAATGAGTAACGAAACAATGTAGACCACTTCTCACTATTTGTGTGACTTCCATTTCCTAGTTAAGATGGAAAGTGAAAACAACAGTTGAAAAAAAAAACTCAGCTACTTTGATCAGAATTTTTGAATTGAGAGATCAACAAATTTCTAAATATGAATATACTGAAGCCCAAATAACTATTTGTTCAGCAACTTATGCTACATTAAGACAGAATACAATGCAAGAGATTGATTCGGTTTTTGAATACACTACTGTGTCCAGCTGAGGCCTGACTGTGATTTGACCACATTCATGGTGATTATTGATAAAACATGCAACTGTGGCACATTTTATGGAATGGTTGGAAATTCAATACAGGTAAAGTGAATGGAAACATGATCTACAAGGATGTTAAAGTTTGACTGGCTGTGAAGATTCCTGGAATAAAACGTTAGTCAAGAGAAGCAGGATTTCAAACTAGCTACAAATAAAATACAGTGCAATATTTTCCTTACTGAAACTTGTCATACTCCATCATTAAGACAATATTCTTCCATCAAGCCCACCCCGCAACCAGTGAATAAATAATTTTTTTTTCCTTCCTGTTACTATGGATTAAATGCCTGTGTCCTGGAAAACTGCAAAAAACACCACTGAAGAGAAAAATATAGTTTGTCATTTAATGGAAACATCAATCATTTTTAAACAAAGGTGAAGTTTCATAAAGAAATTGCAAAGTTTAGAACTGCTGTTGTCACCATAATTATTGATAACTTTAAATAAATTACAAGAATTGAATTCTTGTATGGGTTGGAATGGGTTATTAGTTTGTAAAATGAGAAGGCCCTGTATCAAGCACTAAGTATTGGACAAATACTACAATTGATGGAAAATGAGAAAAAAATGGTGTAATTACTTGTGCAGTATCCTGTTGGAGAAGAGTCACCCATTGGAAGATGTTACTCATTCTTATGCCCTATATTCTCCAACAGCATGCCTAATTATTATTACTCGGCAGTGAGCCTCAAGAACAAGTTTCAGTGAGTTGAGTGCCAGTGAGTGACAAGTATAAGAGCTTGATTTAACGGTCATCTTGACTAAGCTCAGTACTGTTCTACACTTATAAACATTCCCAACTAGGGTCAAAGCTTGGATCCAGACAAGTTGAAGCAAAATGCGGAGAACACAGTAAGCAGATTATTTTCTCCTAATTTGAATCTCACTCAATTGTATCACCAAAAAAAGCAAACATAATCACTGAAAATATTGGTTTCTGGTATCGGTGGATGGAATCTTTCTATCCATCTATAGGCATTGGCAAGAAATTCAGAAAAGAAAAATCACAAGATGACCAGCAAGGAGCTCACAATGTTGAGAGCAAAACATGTCCCATTTTCAATTACAGGTGGATTGGTGAGACAAGACTTTCAAAAGGGAGTGGTGAGGGGCCTGATTGCATGCTTCAGTATTTCATTGGTATGGCACAAACTTACCTCAATTATGAAGTTTCTCATCCCACCATCCACTGGGTTTGAATAAGACAAGGACAATTCCCAACATCCACTTACAATATACTACTGAACTTCAAGTTGCAGTTTGGATCACACTAGCACCTTTACTTGCAATGGTGCTGCCAGGGCACTTTCTGCATAGGAATCAAGTACCCATCTCCTAGATGGGACCAGGGTGAATCTCAGGGCTGGTCATTTGCTCTCTTAGCACTCATACACTATGCACCTACTAAAGTGCTCACAGTATCCTCGCATTGCCTTTTTGCACCATTCCCCCTCGGTGGAGCTAGCTGTTTAGCACAGACACAAAGCCAGGTACCTTGGCCTGACTGTCAGTAGTTATCAGTTCAGGGGGCAGACATAGCTTTACTGTGCATGCAATGTCAATTTCACACCTGAACCACGTGCCAGCAGTCTTTGTGGAAACACACGAGTACCACAAGAGTATCAATCAAGTGGTCATGTCACATAGTCTGAGAGGAACACAGTCTTCAGTCAGGTTAAGGACCATTATTATTAGTCAGGGGATCTCGGTGCAGTCAGTCAAGGGCAGGACTTGCTCACAGTCAAGTTTGGACACAGTTGATCAATGGCTATGGGCAATCAGGTCAGAGAGTACACATCAATATAGTCCAGGGAAATGGGCCACAGCCAGTCTGACAGATCTAATGCAAACACTCAGGGGAGTTGCAGTCAGTCAGTACACTGTGCAGTACACACTGCACAGAGGACGTCAGTTCACGAATCATAGAATCCCTACAGTGTGGAAACAGGACCTTGGGCCCACAAGTCCATGTTGACCCTCAAAGCATCCCAACCAGACCCATCATCGATAACCCATCTAATCTATACATCCCTGAAAACTATGGGCAATTTAGCATAGCCAATCTACCTAGCATGCACATCTTTGGACTGTGGGAGGAAACTGGAGCACCCAGAGGAAACCGGAGCACACAGAGGAAACCCACACAGGCACAGAGAGAATGTGCAAACTCCACACAAACAGTTGCCCAAGTGTGGAATCGAACCTGGGTTCCTATTGCTGAGAGGCAGCCATGCTAACCACTGAGCCACTGTGCTGCTCTGGGGATTAGAGGCATCATGTTGGGATGCAGAGGGGACAATAATTACGAAGGGGGAAAATTAAACATATAGGGGGAAAGAGGGGGATGACCAGACTGAGCCTGAGACTCTCAATGCCTAACATGCGTTGAATTGCCTTCCATACTTTTGCACATAAATGCACACTGCAAATGGAAAATGGCAACGATCAAAGTCAAGGTGGATGGAGTATTTTTTTCCTCTGTCTAAGCACACTGTTTGTGAGCAACATGAAGCCCTTCAAGTGGCAACTGCATTACTCAGACACTTGCATAGTAAAGTTGAAATCACCTTTAATCATAACATTGTCCAAGGCATTTATCTCACATGGATAATAAGGTGCAAATCCTGGTCACAAGCAATCTTGATCATGTCACAGCAGACTAAAGATAGTCACATCTGTGAAGCAGAGGTAATCACAGGTAACCATAAAAAGTGGCACCTGCAAGTGACAAAGCACAAAAATAATGCAAGAGCTCATAGTTTGCACGTGGACAAGGAAGCTCTTCACTCTCACCTTGAACTGTAAGTATTTGCCAATATGATCTCACAAGCAATGATGCCTGTCAAGTGATGCGAGGCTGGGAGGAAAAAATTTCAGTAGTCAAACAGCACTTTCAATCTCATCCTGTCTCAATGTGACATGACTTGTGCTACTTTCATTGGTACAAGTCCCTGTGTCAAAGGATCATGTAGATGCACTCCATGTTCCACTTTACAGAGAATGTCAAACATTGTTTGTGTGTGATGGGAATGCTGACTGCTCACATTACGAAGGATCGATGAACCTGCACACAGGTTCATTGGAAGCATAACCAATGGATTCAGTCATAGTAGGAGACATCATCACTGTTGAGGTGATTCAATTAAGGCACAGGGAAATGGAAGAGGAACTGATATAAAAGCAAGCCCAGGACAAGCAGTCACCTCAGCAAATACTGAACAGCCTCCAAATGAAGATGTCACAGCTGAAGGCTCCCTCAGGATGTACAGGAGTGTACTGCCTTCAATCCGATTTCCTCCTGATGAGAGAAGTGCAGTGCCACTTTACTAACCTTCCTAAATACCTTGTATGGCTCAATCTCATATTCAAAATGTTCTAGTTGCAGCTTGATTGTCTGCGAAGTTTTAAATGATACTGTGAGTCTCTCTAGAAGCATGGATATTTAATCCAACATTGAGGATTCATATTTTTGACTCAAAAATTTTACTTCAATTTTAACGGACTTCGCATCTCACGACCATAGACCTATTTAAATGTAATAAACACAGTAAACTCATTTGGGGAATCTTCAGCAAAATAATAAAAATCCAAAAAATCCAATCCTTTGTCCCCCTTCCGGTATTTATGATAATAACCATAATCGTTGTTTTGAGAATCTGATGGCATCTCTCCAAAGCACCATGGTTGTGGATGGTGAGCAGTAGACTTCAATTGTTTCACACCCAAATTACTTATTCTAACCTGAAAACTCTTAGACAAAATTGGAAACTTGGTCAGACTGCATTTTAATTGTTAGTCCATAACAAGCAAAAAAAACTGAGTTAATTTTCCATCACAACCTTAAGCCGTAAATCGTCCTTAAAAGGAATAGGTTCTTGGAAATCAGACTGTCCTATCCATAACTATAAGGATACACTGGTGTTCGCTACTTTCATTTTCAGCAATGGCTCTATACATTCTACTAATACTCTATTGAATGGTTGTTCAAAAACTGAGTATATTAAAAAAGGTGCTGGTTTGATTACACGTTGAAGTTTTCCCACCATCTAGCACATATGTTCTACAGATCTGCACTACATCCTTATGAAGTCTTGGCCAGATAAAATGCCTGTTCATGGATGTTTGAGTTTTTCATATTCCAACACGTTCTGCCATAAGAATTTCACGTGCTGCTCACAGCACCACCTTACAAAATTTGAGCGGTACCACTATCCAATGAACAATCATCCATTCCTTGTCTGTAGATTAGTGAAGATCTCTCCACTCATTCTTCAGAACTCTGTTCTTAACACAAGACTGCTTTTGGACTTCCTTCAGCCTCAGCTTCAGTGGGAGATGATTGTATTAACTTGCTTTACGAGATTCAATCAAAGAAGATAGTCTAAACACTTCCTCACAATTATCCCCATCCTTAGATGAAGTTTTGGCTACTTTAACATCTGCCTGATGCTTCTTCATCTCTGGTAATGAACTTTATTTTATTATTGTTCTGGTCACTACACACAATGGAAAAATACCTGGAACGCTACCAGTTCTATAATCTCGCACAGACTTTCTATAACTTTCTTTCCAGACAAATCAATACTGAGAAGCAAGTCAACTCCATCCATGCTTAATTTCTGAACGACTCCCACCACCACTTTTCCAGACATTAAGTCACAGTTTGAACGCATGCTGTTTAGCCGTTTACCATTTGAACAGTATTTTCCTTCCGAATTCCTTTTTTCAGACTCACTCTTACAAACCCCGATAAGTTCCTTGGGCTTCCTTTGTATCTTCCAGCATTCAAAACAAAAAAATACAGTGTTCTATTTTGAGATAATGGAAACATTTAGGCCTAACACTCCCACTTGTACCCTCAACACCTTTCTTTCTGATTGGAGGGGGATCTCAAAACATTGCCAGATGTTCTTTCTCTACCCTGGCTAATTGCATTCCTTCTCACCTTTCTTCGGGTTTATGGTGATGATGGTAAAAAGGTTAGGCTTTATAGATCATCGCATAATTATCAGCCATTCCTGCTGCCTGACTCCACTTACTATCTGCTGGAATTCAAGATTGACTCTAATTGGTAAAGATAGTGAGTTTTTAAATTCTTAAGAGAATGATCTCTTAGAGTTTCATAGTACTTACTCCTAATGCCCATATCCACTAGTCAAAATTACTTTGTGCCTTTTGCATGACAGGAGTGGAAAACAGGACAGCAATGGGAGAGAAAGAAAACAGTGCATCAACACTTGTTCCAGTATGGTGTGGATGCACGATGATAATTTGAACCGCACCACATTCCTGTTTAAGTGCTTTAGCAGGAGAGACACCATAATAAAGTTATTCTTCCCAATTACATCTTCAGCCTTAATATTCCAAGGTGTACAAAGTGTCACCAGACAGAATAAGTGTGAATGCACATGGTGATTTCACTGTTGCTGCCAAAACAGTACTGTTAATGGCCTCAGTAAAGCTCGCACCAGTTAGGAATATCTGCTTCAAAAAAGAATAGCCAGCAGCTGACGTCACATATAAAAATAGCTAAAGGATCCCTTTTAAGTTCTAACTTAGAAAATGACCTAAAGTTAAGACAATTGTTTGTCCTTAAAAATGAACGCCACAATTTGGACTATTTTTTAAATAATTTGAGTCACTATTTGTTTTTCTTGTCTATTTGCCTTTATTAATTTTGTTTGAACAGGGAGAGAAGCAATGACATGATGTGAACAGACTGTGAAGTTAAAAGTCCAAGAGTACAGCAGGAGTTGAATTGATGTGATGTTTACCATAACATGCATCATTACAGATCCCAATTCACAAAATAGCTCAGCGATATCTCCCAGCAAGATTCCTTTAATATTGTCACCACTGTGAAGAAAAAAATGATACTTGTCTCCTCACTAAAGAGAACTCTCAGCAAAAAGGAAGGTAAATTTAATTCTTCAGGTGAACAAAGTAGAAGAGAGACATGTGGAAATTTCCTGAGGAGAAACAGAACCTCATGGCGGGTATTCTTGGCAGTGATTTAAATACTCATACAAAAGTGAACCAATACAGATGTTGGAAATCTGAAATAAAAACAAATACCATAAATACGCAGCAGGTCAGGTAGCTTCTGTGAAGAGAAACAGAATTAGGGTCAATTTCCTTTCACCAACCTGAATCATTTACTCTATTTCTCTCCACAGATACTATCCAACTTGCTGAGAATTCCCAGCATTTCATATTTTATCTTAGATTTTCTGCATAAAGCACAGATAAATATTGCCTAAGTTTCCTAAAGTTAATTCATTTTTGCATAGTGTTCTGCAGCATACTTCCAGCTATGAAGAGATAGCTATGCCACCTTGAGCAATTTTAAAAATCCTTTTTCATCAGTTCTTGTGCTGAACAAGTTGCTGGTAAAAGCAGCATTTACTACCCATCCCTAATTGCCTTTGATGAAGTGGAGATGCCTTCTTATACCACTGCTGTCCTTGTGGTGTACATATGCTCACAGTGCTGTGTTGAAGGGAGTTCCAGTATTCTGATCCAGCAACAGTGAAGCAATGATGACATAGCTCCAAGTCAGGATAGTGTGTCACTCGGAGGGGATCTTTTTGTTAGAGTTCCCAGCTGTCTGTTGCCCTTGTTGTTCCAGCGAGTGGAAGTTGTGAATTGGGAAGGTAATGTTAAAGGAGCAATTGCTGTTTCAATGGATTATGTCAAAAATGACTCTTTAGAGAGTTTCCAACCTCAGCTATTTACTAGAGGACATGAAACTGTTTTCCAGCAATGGGAAAATGTAATTTTCTAATAAAAAAAGCAGGCAAGTTTCCCCACCACACTACCTTCATTCTGTTCTTTTACACAAGCTGTTCATTTACAGTTACTTCCAGATCTGATGAAGGGTTAAGTCTGAATCATCACTTTGACCTTTTTATCCACAGATGACACACCTGACTTGCTGACAGTGCAAGAGGCTTTCTGTTTTTGTCAGAGCTGCACTGGCTGAGATTTAGGAGGAGATTGTTTGTCCATCCACTCAGCTAGGGAAAGGGGCATGTGACACAAGGAACCTGAAGATAGGAAAAGGATAAAATCGACCTGGATATTCAATAAGCCAAATGCAGATAACATCACTAAATAAATCTCAGTGAAAAAATCTCTTCAAGTAATTAGCATGTTATTAGTAATTAAAGCTTCACAGCTAGCATCACGTGAATGAAATTCTCTGTATCCAATCCTTTCTGCCAGACAACCCATCTCCAAACCACATCCCCAATCAACATAATATGCACATTCTCTAGGAAAACATAATGAAGACATGAATAATCAAATTATATTCACATGGTGCTAAATACATTACCAATTTAATTAAATCCCATTACCTGTCCTTGTCACCGTCTGTACTTGCATATTCCATAAAGATGATTTGGCGAGGGTAATGTCCACAAAGCTCTCCATTTGGGTTCTGAATCACACTGAAAACATAGTCCCTCCTGAACAGTTCAAGGCAACGATTCTCAATCTTTTCCACCTGCAACCAAACAGACAGTCCAAATTACCACATTGAAAGGTATTAACCTGGAGAGAAGTCCACTGCATTTAGACACAGACAGACAAATTAATGAATAGGGATAGGACATTCGGACCCTTTAGCCTGCTCTACTTTCAGTAAGATCTCCAACTTCTTTATTGGTGAAAACTCTTCCACCTTGGTCTTAAACCATCTTGAACATAACATCTGAAGGACATCATTTTTCAGGTTCTTCTAACTGACCTCAAACATGATCCGTCTTTCATATAATTAAGAGGTTTCCTCATGTTCAATAAAACAAACTGTCTTTCTTTTTATAAAGCTATCAATTTTCCCATATTCCTTCCAATCAACTTTAGTATTCAGTCACATCCCCATGCAGATTTTAAATTCAAAATTCTATACTTTAGTTAACTGAAATATCACACAATGATTGAAGTTTATACATTTAATTCACGAGATGTAGAGGCTGAGTTTTAAAAAACTGAAGTAAAGGGCAGAAAAAAAATTTGTATTTGTAGAACATCTTTCATGGTCTCAGGATATCCCAAGGCACTTCACAGTCAGGCAAATACTTTCCAACGTATGAAAAACTGTAACAGCAATCATTACTGCACAACACGATTCCACAAATAGCAATGCGATACATGACTACATAAACTCTTTCAGTTGTTGAAGGATAAATCTTAGCAGAGCGACAAAGTTACCCCACTCTTCTGTAAATAGTAGAAATGAATCTTTCACCGTTGAGGGGAATTGATCCTCTGTTTAGCATTACAGCAACCCAGACTGCACTATACTTCCACAGTACTGCAAGTGTTAGACTACATTATGTACTGAAGTCAATAAAAGTGGGTTGAACATTTCAGACTGAGAAGTGTTTAAGATTATGATCCATCCAAGATTACGATCCATCCAAGATTACCCTTTTACACATATATGTGGATGTTCGAGAGATAAACTTGCGACTTGTGCAATTTATCCTTCAAAAGTTTACATAGCCAAGTACAGTCCCCATTTGCTAAGCTGGTTAAAGAGGTGAGCTACGCAGCTCAATAAAGTACCTGGAACAAGTAAAGCTGGTCTCAGCACACTTCTGCCAGAAGGAAAACTATTCAGGTGTCTACTCCTGCCTGTTATGCCTGCTGAAAAATATTGTCTGTGGATATAGTCTGAGGATAGGACTGCAATCATATGATATTTCCAACCACCTACATTCCTTCATTGATGCTGGGTCAAAAACCTACAACTCCATTCCAAACAATACTGTGGTTGTAGCTATGAACTACATTGGTTCAAGTAAGTGGCTCACCACCACATTCTCAAAGGGTAATCAAGGGCAGACAACAAATGCTGGCCACACCAACATCCAGAGAACCAACAAAAAAGGATAAAGTTGTGACATGGTTCAGTTATTTTTGAATGTGTACTTCTTAATGGGTGAATCTGAATTACACTTTAAAACGTACTTCTCAAAAAGCTCAACATGTTTGTTTAGTTCTGATCAAAAGAGTGCATTCACAGATAGAAACTAAAATCTGCACAAAGCAGGTGCAGCTCCTGTTTTAAAATCAGAGCAAAATCCTGCAATGAGAGGGAGCTGAAAGAAAATTTGTGATTTATCATCCAGTACAATCTCATCTCAGTTGAGATTATAAACTTCCTATCCACAACCTGCATTGGCAAAATCCTGTGCAGATGTAAATAAGAAAACTGTTGAAAAATCTTATTAAAAATTCTTTTAAAACTGCACAAATGCAAGTTGATTGCCTTTGTTTTGAAAACAGTTAAACTCTTTCCATTACTAGTTAGATTTTATGCAGTTTTCTGGTTAGCTAATAAATAATGAACCAGCAAGAAAATGCAAAATCTGGTGCTACATGTCAAAGATGGAAGTTAGCACTTCTTAAATGACAATTCACATCAAAGAAAGACAAAATTCCAAGCACAATTAAAGATGTATTCATGGCTCAGTGCCACAACACAAACAAAGCTCCCAATGCACTGTACTACATTAGTAAGATAGCTCTTGCCTACTGTATGATTCTGAAGAGAAACTGGCCAAATTGGCAAGTAGGTCACTACTGAACTTCCTAGATGATCAACAGTGTCATTAGATATTGGCAGCAAAGTATACAGCAAACTGCCCATAAGTGCTAACCATGTTGAAAATAGTCAAAACACAGGAATGGAATTTTTAAATGCAAATGAAAGGACATATTGGAGTGGTATGTGTAGCACTATTGTACAATACCACACAGCATAAAATTTGGAAGCTCAATTCCCCCCACTTTAATCAGCTCCTGATAGCAGTCATGTCAGATAGGGATGAAAATATTTAAAAGAGAGTACACTCATTTAAACTATTAAAATTATACTATTTGCATGTCTATACATTAACAGGTGTATTTACCAAAACTAAAATACTCATTTCTTTCAGTTCTATAGTTTAAACTGTAGTCAGCAAAAAAAAAGGGTAAATCTACACAAATTATAGCAATAACTAATGCCTTTCTAGAAAAAAATGCTGCAGAAAAGTGAGGGTTTTTTAATATTTGTTTTAATTATTTGCTACGCTTGTTTGCTAATAGGAAGACCAACACTTACCAATTAATCACTTACTTCTTTACATACCCAGTGTCAAGCAGAAAGTACAGTACAAAAGGGGAGTATGTAGGTGGCAGCCTTCCTTCTCATTAGAAGATGGCTTTTGCTTCAGTGGTTCACTCTGGTAAGTATTGCATTGACTTGTTCAGGAGCCTCTTTCTGACTCAGCATCATTAAGCCTACTGCCATCCTCTGCAACTAAAGCGCATAATTCACCGGCCTCTTTTCTCTGGACCATCTTCTCAGCCAGCTGAGCTCATCATTTCTGCTCAACACATCCAATACCCTTCCAATCAGTCCAACTTCAGAAACTGTATCCCACACATCAGTTTCAATAGCTGTCATCTTTATATTTCACTTGCAGGTAACCTTGTAGCAAGGGTAAGTATTTCTAGGTGGCTATGGCCCAGTGGCCAATTCACTGCACAGAAAATCTTTGGGTATATGGAGGTCATCCATCCAATGAATGTGGTCAAGATAACTGAGATGGCATTGGCTTGGCAACAAGTGTTTGCTGATGGAATTAGCAAGCCTCAAGATCTCTGTGGAGAAGTACGCTAGGATGCAAGCTTGATAGACTTGCAGTTCGATGTTCTTAGTCAGGCTGTTGTTGTTTCACACACGCTTCCCCAGCTTTGGCATATCAGCTTTGTGTTGCACCTCCAAATAGTCAGAGGGCTGGATTAAGCTGCATATCTTGACACAAGAGATTTAAATGGAAACAGAATCGCAGGAAAAAGACATGGAATTAATCAGAAAGTGGAAACTGGTAAAGCAAGAAGATTGTACATTGAACTATGTTTGTTCCATAAGATAATTTTAGGGAAAAAACAACAGGAATGTATAAAAACAAGTTATTTCACAAAAGATGGATGTGAAACAATTGCTAAAGATTAATATTAAACATTATATTTTCATTAAAAAAGTTATTTACAAAATAGTGGAAATGAAAGTCCCTTAGACAAACTGTTCTATGTTCAATGTTGAACAACTAAATCAAAAGTTGCTCATTCTTCAATATTTTGATATGTAAAATATCTCAGTCTAAAACCATGTACCATAAAGCCAACAAATTATAAATCAGTGCTTGGAATTGCTCAAAATCTGGTTTTAACAAATATATTTAACAGTTACTTCTCATGAATATTTCACATTATTAAAAACCCTTTTTCATTTAAAGTATTGAGGAACTCACACCAGAGCACAGGGTATCAACTTACAACGTAATATTGTCTTGAGGAGAATAACACCACAACAGAAAACCAAATAAAGTGCAAAGTAAGAATCTGGATTTATGTATGATTTCTCAGGACCCTGGGATATTCCAAAGCACGTCACAGCCAATTAAGTACTTTTGAAAGTACTGTTATAGTATAGCAAAATGCAACCAGTCAACAAGCATGCACATTATCAATCACGATTTTACTACAGTGATATGATAATTATTAGCAATAATTCTTCTTTTTTTTTTTTAAACATAGTGCCCAGAATTTCTTACATTCAAGAGGCTGGCAGGTGTGGTTGGTTGACCTCTGTTTAAATCAGTCATCTGAAAAACCGCACCTCTGACAGTATAGCATGCCCTCAGTACTGAAATGAAATGTCACTTTGACGCAAGGGGACAGTATTACGGGTAGGCGAACACCACACTTTTTTTTCCAAAAAATTATATTTTGAATTTAACAGGTTGATCTAACAGAGGAAACTTTTTTTTAAAATCTCTCTCAATCCTGCATCTTTCTTTCCTTGAAGCTTCAACTCTTTCCCAGTATTTCCTTTCCCATCCCTAAAGTCAAGTCGTTAAGGCAATAGATAATTGGGACAAAGTTCACGAGGTCCCAGATGCCACACTGACATCACAATGCCATCCATTGGCATTTCCAGCAATCTGCAGTACGAATAGCGAGGGGTGAAAGGCAAGGAAATCCAGTCCATGCCACTCAGGGCAACGTGCATTGTTCCAGCAACATGTGGGCCATTATTTATTGCTCTTGGTCTGACTTTGCCTATAGAGATAGAGTTCTGAGGAAGGGTCACCGGATCCGAAACGTTAACTCTGTTTATTCCCTTCACAGATGTTGCCAGACCTACTGAGCTTTTCCAGCAACTTTGTTTTTGTTCCTGTTCCTGATTTACAGCATCCGCAGTTCTTTCGGTTTTTATTATTTGACTTGGTCAGTGGCAGAGTGGATCCTTTGACCCTGTCACTCCGTGCCCTGATCATATAAGCATTTGGGTTATTTGACACTTACCTTGCATTTGGATTATTTGATTGTCACTTTGGGTTCAGATTATTAAACGCTTCTATACCAGTTTTGGATTATTAGTTTATTACTCGACAGAATATTCCGCGGTTATTTTCATGGGTTAGCCTCCTTCGGGTTTACCTTGGGATTGGCCTCCTTGGCCCGATATTGGTGTTTGGAGAAATGTTCGATCAACTCCCCGATCTCCTCACTCCTCCCGCCTAGCCCGAGCCCGGACCCGGACGCAGCCCGGCTGGCTGGCTGCCACATCTCGCCGCCTTCACTGCACTCCCCGGTCCGCAAAGCCTCCGCCGGCCTCTCCGTGGAAGGCACCGCCGGGCTTGCAGCCCATGGCCCAGACGCGTCCTCCCCGCTCAGCCTGCCCTTCCCTGCGGCTCTCTTCTCCGCCTCGGCTCGAACCAGCCGCCACTTTCCCGGGGGAGGGCGGGGAGGCCGGCCTGCGGGGTAGAGAGAGGCAGGGGAGGTGTGGCTACTTGGCCGGCCTGCTCCGAGAGCCTCTTCCCCACGCCCTCCTTCACCGGGAAGCGGCAGCGGCTCCGAAACCGGCCGGCTCCAAGCCTCTGACAGCCATCGTCATGGGAGACAGCGCTGACCCCCCTTACGTCACCAGCCTGACCTTTCACCTCCCCCACCGCCTCACGTGGTGCCAAATGCCCAGAAGGATGCTGTTGCCTGGAGTAAGGGAAAGAGGGTGTTAATGGTCTGTTACACTATTCTGTTTTACTTTCCACAGATATTAGAAAACCTCCCAGCACTTTCCAGTTTTATACTGATTTTCAACGCCCAACATCCGCAGTCCTGTGCCTTCATTATAAACAGCTTGATTATTCACTTTCTTCAAACCCTGTCACTATAAACTGCTTAATTGTTTATTGTCTTAAAACTCAGCCACTATAAACTGCCTAATTGTGCATTTTCTTCAAGCCCTTACACTATAAACAACTAATTTTACTTTTTCTTCAAACCCTTATGCTATAAACAACTATTTTTTTCTTTTTCTTCAAACCCTTACACTATAAACAACTTTTTTTTCTTTTTCTTCAAACCCTTATGCTATAAATGACTAATTTTTCTTTTTCTTTGAACCTTTTCACTATAACCAATTAATTTTTCTTTTTCTTCAAACCCTTTCACTATAAACAGCAAATCTTTCTTTTTCTTCAAACCCTTTTGCTATAAACAGCTAATTTTTCATTTTCTCCCATCCATTTCAGTATAAGCTGATTAATTTTTCATTTGCTTCAAGCCCTTTCTCTCTAAGCTGATAAATTGTTGATTTTCTTTGATCACTTTGGCTGATTAATTCTAAATATACATGGAATGAAATATTCACTGACCAACAGTTGAAATTCAGGTAAAACAAAGACGTGGGACTGGAAATCTGAAGAAAAACTGAAATTTTCAGTGAAACTCGGTAGGTCTGGCAGCATCTGTGAGAAGCAAGCAGAGTTAACATTGAGTGGAAGTCTGAAGCCACAATGGCTGTCAGGGAGCTTTTAATGTGTATGCTGTAAAGCAAAGATTACCAGAATGTTTTTTGCAACCCAACTGAATAGACTCAGTTTATGCAAGGCATCCCAATTCTGAACATCTTAACATCTCAACTGGTATTATTAAGATCATAGAGTCTTGTTTACGGAGTTAACTTTTGTATTTTAAATTTATTTCTTATATGCTAAATGTTTTATAACTGCAATAATCATATATATTTTGAAACAAGTCTTTTCTTGCCTTTTGTGTATCTAAAGCCTGAATCTAGTGTCAATTACACATAACTTACCAGTTATCATTGAATGTAACAACCCAGAATCCAGAATTATCAAATGGCTACTCTAAGATACAAGGACTTCCATGGTACTGCCCAGGAAATTATCCCTCACAGATCCTGTTAAGTTGTAGCATTCTTGATTCCTGCCCTAACCAGCAAGATATCACATACAGCCAGATGCAGCCTTGTCAACTCTTATGGATTGTCGTCGGTCTAATGGTTTTAATGTCCATCTCATGGTCTCAATTCAATCTCATTCGAATTGACTTTTGAAACAGATTTGCTTTTTGGGATATCTGCAGTATTGTGTTGTGAATGCCCATGTAACAGGAGGGAGGTAAGTGCTTATAAACTGAAAGGTCCTTGCATAGCTGGTCAAGGACAATATTTAAAAGTTATATACAGCTGAATGTAACTGAACAGATAGTACAAGTATGATCTGAAACAAATTTATATTAACTGCACTGTAAAAATAGAATGTAAGCCAGTAGATAGAATAGAATAGACTTAGATACAAAAGTACCTAGGTACAGCTTCTTTTGTTACAAGATTTGTTACAGAAATAAAATGTCCAGGATTATAGAAAAGAGTTCAGTACAGCAGACCACACTGGCATTTAGCTTCCAGTCTTCACCGGGCCCAGGCTCCACACTCTGCTGGCAACATACCACGCCAGACCAGGAAGTCCCCACACCATCCCAGGAGGCTGCTGTGGGAAGGTGGGAGTTTGCCATGCCAAGCTGGGAGATCGCCAAATCAGGAGATGGCATGTGGGGAGACTGCTGCGCCAGGTCAGGAGGCCAATATGAGAGACTGCTGTGCCAGGCCAGGAGTCGTTGCCGGAAGCTGGGAATCGTCGCTCCTCTCTGGAGGTCATCAGAGGCTGGGAGTCATTGTCAAAGGCTGGGAGTTGAAGGAAGAAAAGAAGAGGAGAGAAAACATTAGGAGGAAGGAAAAGAGAAGAGAAGGAAGAAAAGAATGGCGAGTGGAGCAGACGTGCTCCAGCTGGAGTGACCTACTCCGCTGCTCCCTTGCAACACTGCACCTATAAATGTAAAATTAATACTGTTCAATGCAAAAGGAAGTAATCTTGGCCAAATATTATTATATTATGATACAACAAGTTGTTTGCGTTGGGTCATTTGGTGTTAACACTTTTAAGTGCTATTGGCAGAGAAAGGTTCATAAAGTCATTGTGCTTGTCTTTCGATAAAATTCAGGTTGGTGGCCTGGTGGCTTAGTGCTTGGCACTGCTGTCTCACAGCGTCAAGGACCTGGGTTCGATTTCACTCTCAGACGACTGTCTCTGTGGAGTTTGCACATTGTCCCTGCGCCTGCATAGATTTCCTCCAGGTTCTCCAATTTCCTCCCACAGTCCAAAAATGTGCAGGTTAGGTGGACTGGCCGTGCTAAATTTCTCATAGTGTCCAGGGATGTGCAGGCTAGGTGGATTAGCCATGGGAAATGCAGTGTTACAGCGATAAGGTGGGGGGGTGGAGTGGATCTGGGTGAGAGGGTCGGTGTGGACTAGATGGGTGAAAAGGCCTGCTTCCATGCTGTAGAGATTCTGTGATTCTCTCATCCAATGATACCAGTATTAACAACGTGAGCAAAAGACTTGAAGGTTGACATCCCAGCAGATGCACTTTGAAAATAGAAACATTTGACAACCTTGGATATATCCCAGCAATAATCAGCCATCATAAAAAAGGGACATACAGAAATCTCAAGTATAATTCCACGGGGCATTTGGAGATCCATAAACATCCACCGTGAATGCTCAGTACTACCGAGCAGGACAAGGGCTGCAGATCCATGGGGACATCACCACCTGCAAGATCCTCTCCAAACACTCTCAATTCTGACTTAGAAATAAATTGTTGTTCCTTCAATGTCACTGTGACAAAATCCTGGTATTGTACATCTACCTACGGCGCATGGACTGCAGCAGTTCAAGAAGGCTTCTCACCACCACCTACTCAATGGCAACTAGGGTTGGGCAATAAATCCTGGTCCTGCCAGCAATGTCCACGTCCCATGAATGAATAATAAAAATTGAAAATTTCCAATGCAACTTCTGCCTTTAAACAGTATGAAATCATGCCCTACTCATAAGATCTCTCTTGGTAAAAGCACTGTACTGAAATATCTCAAAAACAAGCTGAAAACACACATCAAATCAAACTACATTTGTTGAGAGAAGAAAACAAATTAAAGTTTAAGATAACAAGGTGTAGAGCTGGATGAACACAGCAGGCCAAGCAGCATCATAGGAGCAGGAAGGCTGACGTTTCGGGCCTACACCCGAAGAAGAGTCTAGGCCTGAAACGTC